TATATATATATATATATATAATATTATTAAAAATAATAAAAAATTAAAAACATGTATTATGTTACAAAGTAGGATTTGGACTATGTTACTCCGAATTAAGATAGAACATAATTACTATTAACTTTCACTCTTTTACTTTGGATCTTTCTCTTTGGCTATCATAAGGTGGTGATGCTGAGTGAGTTGGGTTTGCTAGCTGGTGTTCAGAGTTCTCTCTTCTCCTTTCCGTGTTCGTTCGAGCTCTTCTTCGTCTTCTCTTTCGTTCTTCGCGGTCCCGAAGCTCGGATTGTTGTACCGAGGTAAGGGAAGCTAGGACTTCTTGCCGATTGTGTGTTGTAGTGAGCTAGGACTCACGAATTTCGGAGATTTCCCAAGATTTTGAGCTGTTTTGGATGAAAACTCATATTTCGGGGTTTTCGGGTTTTTGAAGAAAATTTGGGTTTTTCTTGGATTTCAAGTTGCATGTTGAAAATGAGGTGTTTTTCTTGATGTTTGATGAAAATGTGGACTTTTGGATGGATTGCATTCTAGTTTTATGGTTGTTTTTGTAGGGTTGGGTGAAAATTTTTGAACTTGGTGAGCTGCTGCTAAGCTTCGCGCCGAGCGCCGTTCTTCGCGCCGAGCGCGAGACCTTGGGAGGTCTCTGCCTTCTACGCGCTGGGCGCGGGTTTGGGCACGCCGGGCGCGTGAGACTCCTTAGAGTCTCTGCCTGGGATGCGTTGGGCGCAATTGGTATTGCGCCAGGCACGTGTGAGCCTTGGGCTCTCTGGCTGGGTCCCGCTAGGTGCGGGCACACTTGTGTTGGGCGCGCTGGCCCCCTGGTGCTCTCTGGTTGTACCGCGCTGGGCGCAACCATGAGTGCCCCGGGCGCGGTGATGAGATTTCACTATATGCTGTCAGATGTTGTTTTATGCTGAGTATGAGCTGGAATTGATGAATATGTTGTGCTGTGAGATGTATTGCTGAAGTAGGATGTTTAAGCTGTGTTGTGAGCTGTGGTTTGGCTGTGCTGTATGCTTCCTTATAACATCAGACTCGCTATTAAATTCTAGTAGATCCAAAATATGAAGAAATTATTAGGTAGCCTTGAATCACCATATGTCCATAGTTTTGGTCAATCTTTATGTGATACATCTTCAAGGTTTTTACATTGCAAGAAATAATTAATAACACTTTATTATATGTCATATGAAAGTTAGTAGAGACCAAAATAGTCTTGCATTACCTAATAATTTCTTCAAAATGAGTTTGTATGGAAAAAGATAAAGAAAATTCCTTCAGAATTAAACCTGCTCATATGAGTTTGTAGAGGGGAACATTCCATGCACAAGGGTATGCAGAGAAGTATATGATTGTGTGTCAAAACAACGACGGTTTACAGCAATCTCTCCCTGAAAAACTGAAAAACATGAGAATGGAAGTTTGACAAACAATAAACAATTAAGGAAGTTTTAGCATTAATTTATCTTAAAATAATGCGACAGATTTATTACCCTGGGGTTAATGATGAATACTTTTCCTTTGGGGATTCCAACCTTAAGGTAGCTAACTTCATCCGTATCCCTATTTCCAAATCCAGCATAGAACGGATTACAATCTGGTGGAAAAAGTGCCTTGATGTCCTGGATGCATTAAAATTCTACTTATCTTTAATAACATGACCATACTGAAAATGATTAATTTTGTTAATTTTAGTATAGTAAGAAGCTAACCTCTAAACATGCAATTTTGAACTCATGAGGAGCCCTCCGGATAACTGGAAATAGAGAAGAAATGCATCATTGGCCCAAATATTATAAAGGCATGATCAAGGTGTTCCAGATTCAAAGCCTTGACAGAGTCTTATACTATAATTTATCATTAAAAGAATATAATGGATCACCAAAGAACTCCAACAAAAAGTAGTGAGTAAACCCTTAGAATAGTGCTTCAGATTGTTTGGGTCAGGCGTTTTAGGTCATGAGATTTTGAAAACCTTTTATTAGTTCCAAACTAGACAGACAACATTCACTTTAAGTTTCTTTACCGAAAAATAATAGTGAAAAATAAAGAAGACTGTTTTGCAAAATTAAGGTCTACTAGAGGATTTTTAAAATCTTGAAAGATAAAAAGCATAATCCTATAATTTCAAGGACGAAGTTGAAGGTTTAGTCAGAAGTAATATGCCACGCAAAATAGGGTTGAGATGCATCGTGTCTTAACACTTTTCTTTTAATCGGTTATTAAATGTGTCTCGGTCTTTGATAAAGTCAAATGAGACCTTTAATTCATATAGCCGACCTCACCTATTAGGATAAGGTTTTTGTTGTTGGTGCCTAGTGGTGGTGACTAGTTTAGAGTTTAGACTCCCATCTATACGACAACACCTCCACTATAATTCAAGTTATCAAAAATTACACCATATGGTTATAAATAAATTCAAACAAATCATTCAATCCAATAATTAAAATTTCCACAGTTGTTTATTATTTGTGAGCCATATCTACAAAGATATGTCATCCACTGAACGTATCATCATGAGAAACATGAAACAATACTAGAAGTTTCAACTTCATGGGATTTTCCTAGCCAACTATAAACAAAAATTATGCAAACACAAATTATAACTACTAAAGCTATGTGTTATTTCCCGTTCCCCTTTCTTCCTCCCTCTCTAAAATACAAGTTCAAACATCAAGTTCCGACGGTCTGAATCCACATACATCTAATGAATATAACAATACAGTAGACTACTACAAACCACCATTAAGGCTTATAGTATGTCATGAACTTGAAATGGGGTAGCCTCCTCTCATCCGCAACATTTTTTAAACCAAAAAAGTAAAAGGGTACTCCTATAAGTGAGAAGAAATAGAAAATAAAGATAAGCAGACAAGTTACCTTCTCGATATAGAGAAGGAAAAAGTCCATCGGGGGAAATAACAACAGGACCATCTGGTAAAACTTTCCCATCCTGCATTATAACAATAAATTATAAAATGGAAGTTGCTTCATTCTTGTTTTGTCCATCCTTGACATTTAAGATTGATTTCAAATCTATGTAATCACCTGCTTAAGGTTGCATAAAAACTGCCTAGTGTGATATGCCTGAGATATTGCACGAGCACTGAGAAAAAGTAGCTGGTAGCCATTTTCCTGAAAAGTGTATAGTAGTCTATTAGACAAGAAAACATACCACGCCACACACACAAAAAAATGGTTGTTATAGGGAGGGTAATGGTCAGTTTCCATCCTGAACCTCCCAAGATAATTAATTGATCATTAGAATGAATGAACTTGTAAAATAAAATTCATCAATTTACTCAAGATTGAACTATAGAACATTCTATTTTCACGTTGTAGAAAACTCAAAACACCTAAACACATGGGCAGATAGACAAACCTTAATAGCTGAGAATAAATGAGCAACGCCTGTTTGCGACCAGTCGATTCCTACTAAAGGCATGAATTGACCTAGAACATCTGACCTGTAAGGCGTAAAATAAAAGAAAGAGTTTAACATTGTCTCACCATGGAGTAGAATTAAACTCGAGCCAAAACAAAAGAGACCGTGACAATATGAATATGAAAACTAAAAGGAAGAGGCATATTTCAAGATATTACAATTATAAATGCTGCAGCAGTAAGGAGAAAGAAATTCAAACTTCTACAGCTACACTATCTGTAATCCATCCTTTGCCTTGCGTTCTTGCTTACTATCGTTATGCAGTTTGAATTCTAATAAAACTGGTCTCATTTAAATATTCAAAACACTATCTGCTCGGCTAAAATTTAACCAATATGTTACTACTACATGTCATAAATTGTCAATCAATTCAATCCTCAAGGTATGTTAATAATAATGGCGAAAACCGAAAGTATTAGGTAAATTATATTTACCAACTTTACATCTATCACCACTGTAATGGATTAATACAAGGATGATTCTTTATCTGCTGATAAAAATTTCACATCCAATCATTGTCATTGAACTACTGCTGGATGATCTGGTTTGTCTAGTTCAATTAACAGTTTAACAAACAAATCAATCTGAATACCCCTCACAGTGAATGAGTGAAAAATACACCGAGTGCATTTATCAAAAGCACTGTGATATAATAATAACTATAGGTACACGCCAAACATAATGTGCTTGTACAGTGTTTACCATACATATTTTTCCATGAACGCGACGTAACAATGCTGAAAACGTCACTTGATGAGAAGTGAAACTAAATGGCAACCAAATGAAAGAAGAAAAAAAATGGAATAAGATTTGTATGGCCTTTGAACACAGAAGCAAATAACTTAACAAATGGCCCTCATCTTGGTATCCCATCAGTACTATAAATTAAACATGCAATTTAGAGAGACAGAGACCCTATGTCTAGTTTTCGTTAAGTGATATAACAGGACACGAAGAAAGTATTGTGCTTGGCTCAAAAGAAACAGGATCCAAAGAGCTTCTAACTTGTTCGCACCATAGAAGTTTACACTCCTGCCTTACATATGAAGGAAGTGTATGGTGTTATGTGTTTTCTGATTTATTTTAAAAATATATATATCGGGAAGCTTTTGCGTAAAACATTTGACTTATTGTTGTTCTTTTTGTAGGCAGGACACAGTTGATTTCGGCTGAGCCATTGATTCACTCAGTGCCAATACTTCAGCAAGATTGCTAAGGAGAATTTTTTGGTAAACACCGAGTATGAAGTATCTTTATTTCGTATATCAAATTACCAATGGAAAGGCAAGAAGCTATCAATAAATATATATTAAGCATAATTCTGTCAGAGTACAAGAAGATATATCCTCACCTTGTAATTGTCCCATCTACATCTGATATCACTATTCGAGTGTTCCATTTCCACAAATATATTTGAGCATCAATCTAATAATCAAAACATAAAACAAATAACAATAAAAGAGATATTTCGATAAAAGAAACAAAAAAAAAGGGAAGGAGGAGTAGTTCATTTACTTGAAATAAATTGAAGAATTCTATTGATTACTAACCTGTTGCTTTCCCGTAGCTGTAGAGTAACTAAAGATTATTGTGTTCCTCCCTTCCTTCAGATTCAAGGATGCTAGCTGTTCAGACGTTGGAGTATTTGCACTAACCTTTACTGAACAATCTCTTTGACCAATATTGACAGTTTTAGATTTTCGAAACTTTAGTGTGCTTCCAACATCCCCAGCATCACACAGACTAGAATGGGAACAATCTCTTTGCTGAGAATGCAAATCTGAGACCTCCATTACTGACCTCCCATTAACCTAAACAAGAACTATAACATATTAGTGTCAACCTAACACAAAATACCCCCTTCATAGTCATACCATCGCTTGTTTTACTTAGACTCCGGATTAGCATCTAGCTTAGCTTTTCAATTATGAAACCCTTTAGTTAAGATTTTTATAGAACAGGAATGTCGACCTTTCTCAAGTTTACAAGTGCTTATGCAGAAGGTAAATAAGGTAGTGTATATATAAATTAAATAAAAAAAACATATTTGATGTGTATAATTTAATTTAAAATACATGTAAACAATTTATTCGTTTTATTTTCCTTTTGTGTAAGTGGTCACAGAGAAATTTTCCAAAGCAGCTTTTATTCTTGTTAACGTGTAAATCTTGGAATTTAAATTCAAGTCTAACTCAACTCCAAAAACTAACTCATTAAATGAAAGTTGTCCCTCATTTACATACATTGTTTTGGTCATAACAATAGCATAATAGCTAATGGAGATCTCTAATACACCCTCTTCAAGACTAGATCATGTGCCTAATGTTTGTAGCAAAAGATGACTTAATAGATCTAACAACAAATAAGATAAGATTTACACCATCTTAGAATTTAAATTTAAGTCAAACTCAACTCTATTAAACTTGTCTCTCACTTATATATATTATTTCGTGCATATCACTAGTCAATGAGAGATTTCTAGCACATCCATTTACACTAAGAACCGAACATTTTGTGTAAAAAAATGCTCAGCAACTAATAAGATAAACTCTAATACCATCTTAAAATTTGAGTAAGGATCATCAAACCCAAATTCAAAGAGGAAAAGCTATGTAACAAGTTAAGTTCCCCAAGAAGAATTTAGAATCTTTTACCTGAGGTTGAAGTAGAGTTGCAGCATGCAAGACCTCCTCAGCATGGACACGGACATCTCCACATCCTGTTGCAAGGCACAGCATCTCATTATCATTCGAAGAACAATCTCCCTCCTTCATTTTCCTTGGTGGCAAACCATTGTTCAAGGCACCACCCTTTGTCCTCTTAGGCAGTTGATCACAAGTGAGATTGGTAGACCACTTCAGCTCCATCAACTTGGCTGCAATCTCAGCACTCTCCATCGAATCCACCCTATTCACATCATCATCTCCACCTCCCCCTCTCAAAGACCTTGACCCAAACACGTGGCCAAGAATTCTCCGAGACCTACTACTCCTACCCACAACCTTAGCCTCCGAATTTCTCTTGTCTAATGAATCAAAATTAAAACTTCTAGACTTGAGATGCCTCTTACCATCCCCACCATACACAGATTCCCCATCTTGTTCTTGTTCTTCTTCTTCTTGTGCCTTTGCATGGAAGAAAACAGCTTCCCCTTTAGCGTTCAAACGCATGTAGAAATCAGATTCTACACCGTTGACACTGACATGGACCTTCACCTTCTCCTTCTCCTCTTCCTTCAAAACCTTGTGGAATTTCCCAAACCTAACGTACCAAGGAGAGGATTTGAAGCTCCCATCTTTCTGCTTAACCACAACAATGTCGACTGCTCCACCGAAGGGGAGGAACGGCCCCGACACCGTGCACACGCCACGCGTGATGTAGCTGCCGAGCCTCCCCATTGCTTGCATGTTAACGTTCTTCCAATTGCAACACAAAACAATCGTTACGTGAAACTCAATAGCATGCTCAAAGACTCGATCTCAATGTATGAGGTATGTCTTGAATTTTGATTCCAAAAAGAAAATTGCAATAGGGTATGACAAATTAGCAGCTAGAGGGACATTCTTAATTTGAGATCTGGACCTCGTACGTTAAACACATGTTAGCAACGAACGAGTCATAACCGCCAACGCAAGAATATTCGGTTAGAGAGAGTGGAATGTGCGAGGCAATTATGATAAAGTTGAGAATATTCTTGAGAACTAATCCAATTGCATATTATCACTTAAATAAAAATAATTAAGAGTTTGAGTGGTTATGGGTCCCTTTGGGGTTTGATTTGAAACTTGAAAACATTGTTAAGCGAAGATGGAGTTGGCGGGGACAGCAACACTTTTGAATTTCCATGCAAATATAGAAAATGCGAATTTCTCTGCTACGCTACCCTGGCGGATTCCAAATACGAAGCTTCATTCATGGAATGGTAAGTCCTCCTAAAAATTTAGGGGAATTGTTATTGATATTACTTTTTTTTTTAACTCATCATGCACCTTAATTTTGTTATTAATTGCTCTTAATTAGATCACTAAATTCTTTTGGCTAATAATATTATCTGTATCTTTCAATCTCTTTTTTTTTTTTTTTCTGTTTCTAAGACTTCACCATAGTTAGTCATAATGACCTTCGTGTAATTTAGATAATAAATTAATTCATACAAAATCACATATTATTTATCAGATAATATATGATAAGATACATAATTTTTAAATTAAAAAATGAAGAAAAAAAATTCAATTAAACTAATGAAGATAAAAAAGAAAAAAAGAAAAAAAAGTTAAGAGTTAACACATTTAACTAAGCTATAAGTTTATAAAATAAGTTTTCCTTTCAAATAAACTTATTTTAGTCAAACTAATTTATAAGTTAATAAAAAAAATTTACAACCTGTTCAAATGTTTTTCACACTCATTATATTAAAATTTTGATTTGATCATATTTTATCTCATATACTTTGAATCAAGCTTAGATTCAAATAAATAACCCGATCAAAATTAAGTTAAATAATAATAAAAATAAATTTGACCCAACTCATCACTACTCACTTATACTAATTAACATTCCTTTCTCATGTACACCTAGTAATTATAATTGAATCATTTCATTTTATTTCTTTAACAACTTTGTCTCTCTAGTACTAAAATCAATAAATAAATAAATAATGTTTAAAAGATAGATCAACCTTTAATCCTTTGTTATGACCTTCAAATAGAAATAGTAGATCTTAAACACAATTAACTTTTTGTGGAAAATAAAATAGAAGTCCAAAATTTTACATTATATTTTTTGTATTATTTTCCTAATTTTAAAGAAATGTTTGTTAGGCAAGCTGACCCACTCAACTCATTAGTGGCCAACTAAAATGAGGCAAGAAAAATAGGCTAACTAGTTAAATACTCTTAACTCGAGTTGTCTATCCACAAAGGTGGGTTAAATAGGTCTACCTATTGAAACAAATTTGTTATCTCGCTGATAGACCAAAACAATCTTATACTAGTTAATCTATCCTCAGTGTTATTCATAATCAAAATTCAAATATTTTTTTTAATATACCGTGTTAAAAATATTTTATTAATTCATAATTACTTTCTTTTAAAATATATTTACTTAAGAAATGTTTCAAAAATTTTATTGATTTATCAAACCAAAATTTGTTTATTATTTTTCTATTTTTTCTTTCAAATTTAATTTAAAAATGTTGACAGAAAAATTTTTTTTACTCTAATATTAATTAGAAATTGTCATATATTAAAATTATTGAAAATTATAAAATTACTTTAGAAGTCACATTGAAAGTGATTTCTAATGTATTAAAATATTTAAACTTCTTTTTAATAAAGAGAGTCTTACCAATAAAACTTTAACACATTCCTTTTAAGTTTCAACAAAGAAAACGATTTGATGAAGGAAAAAAAAAATCAACTATATAATCTTACTATTTATTCTTTTAAATTTCTACTTTATAGTGATAAAAATATTATATTTATAAATAATATCCATAATTTTAAACATCAATAGGTTCCTTCTAAAAAAAATATTAAGTTTTGAATCGAAAGTAGTTGATAAATATTTAAAACTTTTTTCTTATAGGGTCAAGTTTTTTTTTTTTTTTTCTAGAAAGACTTATAAAGTTATAATACGTTCAAGTTGACTATCAATGATAGTGTAACCTTATTTGGTAAATTTTCCATTCAAGAAAAAGATATAAGAAATAACAAAATGATTATAAATCCATGTGCTCTCAAATAAATCTTTCATCGTTTGGATTTTTTTTTAATGAATGATAGTTTTAATGACATTTATTATGCCATATGAAAATTTGACAAGTGAAGATATTATGAATGTTTACGAAAAGATTTTTTTTTCTTGTCGCGGGTCCACTACACTAGGTCAGAGAGAATTGGTTTCCTAATGAGATATTTAAAAGAAAAAAATCATCTATCAATTATACCTTACTTAACACGGTTCCAAACATTTTTTTCTTTTGTGAATAGAATTTATTATATTAACTTAGAAACCTCTAGGAAAGGAAATCAAGAATAATTCAAAAAAAGAAAGCATTATAATTTTGACACACTTTTATTCCATAGTCAGCAAGAATATCTGCAACTTGAATAATTTGTTGCAAAGACATGATTCAAGTAAACGTTTCTTTCGTACGATGAACTAACACGGTTCCAAACAAGTGTCTACTATCAGCATCTAATGTGGGATCCTATTCATAATTAATGGGGCACACAATTCAAATGATGAACCCTATGGCGGATTTAAAACTTCCTTAATCAAGAAGTTGAACACAAATTTCTAATATATTGAATTCAAAATCGAATTATTTAGATAATATTTAAGTCTGATTTTTGATGAAAATAATTTTTAATCAAACTTTATTTATCTTTTAACCAAGTCAAATTAGTCTAAGACACAAAACCTTAAAATATTAATAAAAAAAATGAATAGAGAGAAACGTATTGGTTTAAAATTAGTGTGACTTGGATGCAGGATCATGCCATTCGCAAGAAAATGAAGAGTCGAAAAACACGGCGTGTAAGGTGGCAGCCACTTGACCCAATAGTAGGCCCAACACGCGGATGTGCCATTTACGCTTTCAATGGATTAATTGGGCCTTCACTTACTGGTGGTATCAGCCACTTGCCCAAGTTTCAACAGCATAAAATTAGAAAAATACTAACCATATTTTTTTAAATACTGTCTTTTTAATATCGTCTAAAATTTATTAAAAATCATAAATTTTACATATTTTACATCTTATTTAATGATTTTTTTTTCAATTTAGTAATAGGATTTATTGAAATTTAAAATTTTCAACTAATAATAAAAATAATATTAGTAAGAGTACATCAATGAAAATTTGTCACTAACATTTTTGTAAAATTAATGTATAGTACAACAACTTCATGGAAAGGATGGCTAGTGGTATTTTGATATTTTTTGATAAAAATAAAACTAAAAATATCTATAAAAAAAATTATACTAAAGTTTTGTTCTTTAAAAGTAAAATAAAAAAATCGTCAAAAAGGATCAATTCTTCAAGGGGAAAAAAAAAAAGAAGAAAAAAAATGAAAATCGACAAAGAAAGGGTCAATTCTACAATAACAAAGGTTGATGTGATATGGGTTCAATCCTGAATTTTGGGAAGAACGACTTGTATAGCGTTGGTTAATTGGTTCAACGTACAATCCGAGTTCACATCATAGTTCACTAATGGTGTGTTTGGATGGAGAATTTTACAAACTCAAGGAATTTTAAATTCTTGGTATTTGAATTACATTGATTTCAATTTCTAGCATTCTTAAAATATTTTGTTTGGATAAGCCAATTCAAATTTTTCAATTTTTAAATTGTTGGGTTGGATATGATAATTTGATTCTACCATGGTAAAATTGATTTTAAAAATATATTTATATGTTGAGATTTTTAAATTAAATTTTGTAAAAATAAATATTAGTTAATTTTTAAAATTTTAATAATTTTAAAAATTAATATTAGATAATATTTAATAATTTTAAAAATATTTATGAATATTCAATAATTAAAACATGAAGAGATAAGAGATAAGATAAAACATATAAGTGAAATAAGAAGAAAAAAATGAGGAATTTCAAATTCTTACTTTTTTGGGAGAATTTGAAATTCTACTATTTCAAGGAATTTCACAAATACTTGAATTTCAAATTCCTTATAAATTCTCTATCCAAACAAGGTATTTCACCTCAAAGAATTTGAAATTCTTCAAATAAATGAATTACTTCATTTAAATTTTTCATCCAAACATACTATAAAGTATGTTTAGATGAAGGGGTTTTGAACCAAAAAGGAGTAGAGGGTTAAGTTCAATATAATAATGGATGATTTGAAGGTTCTTTGTAATATTTCGTTTTTATTATAAAAATATTTAATTGATAAACATTAATTCACACCGTTGAAAAATTGATTTATTAATGAAAAATAATTCCATCTTTATTAAACCTATGAATTTAAAGAGAGAAAAAAAGTGCATTTCACATAATCTTATACGGAATATTATTGTCAAAAATAATAACTAATTTTTATTTGAGACTATAAGTAGTATCCACAAAATGGATTGAATTTGCTGGACTAGTTCAAACCTACTTGATAAATTATAGAATTTGGGTCATGCGCTACCCACTTCCTTATTAAATTTTAATATTTTTTATTTTACTTATTGATAAAAAGTAAAAGAATTGTACTCATTCAAGTGTGAGTCATGAGTCACAACAAACACAAAATTCATGTTCATTTGAAGGGAAAAAAGGACTCATGCTAATACCATTTAACTTTGCACGTGTAGTTGATTACAAGTTTTGTAGGTAATTTGTCCAATTGGGTCATGCACTACCCACTTTTTTATTAAATTTTAATATTTTCTATTTTACTTATTGATAAAAAGTAAAAGAATTGTACTCATTTAGGTGCGAGTCATGAGTCACAACAAACACAAAATTCATGTTCATTTGGAAGGGAAAAAGGACTCATGCTAACACCATTTAACTTTGCACATGTAGTTGATTACACAGTTTTGTAGGTAATTTGTTTTTACACTTAATCATATTTAGGATTTGAAATTTAACAACTATTTTGTATGAAATTTTACTTATAACATGTTCATTTTTGTATTTTAGATTATGAACGAGGATAATGATAGAGAGGCCATTAATTTAGA